GTTGATATGACAGCAAACGCATGCTGAGAAGTTCGGGGGGCGTGGTTGATTTTACATAAAGCGTTTGGTTGGAAGCTCGACTCCGCTCATTTTCGCGGCTCCTTCTCTGGCTCCATCAGACAGTCCTTCTGCGCATGTCAAGGCTCCAATTTCAGCAGTCTTTTGCGACAGTTTGTGCCCGTCAAGCAGGCGTTTTGCCCTCAAGGCGTTCAATGGGAAAAAGGGCTGTCGTGTCGTCCATATTTTTTACAGTCATTGGTATTTACAATGTCCCCTGCAACAGAAAAAACCCTCTCATTTGGGACTGAGGTTTCTGGGACAAGAGAGATATGACTTGGCCCAGGTTGACAGCAGTGGGTAACGTTGTGCATTGTCTTTCCCCCACTTGAGAGGACAAACCATGAGTGAGATAGAGGTCTCATGTCTGCATCAATCTGAACAGTGTGCTGACAACACCGCTATTCAGTACGCGCGCGACAATACAGCTGATAAGAACTCGCGCGACAACACCGCTATTCAGTACGCGCACGACAGCACAGCTGATAAGAACTCACGCGACAACACCGCTATTCAGTACGCGCGCGACAACACAGCTGATAAGAACTCACGCGACAACACCGCTATTCAGTACGCGTGCGACAACACAGCTGATAAGAACTCGCGCGACAACACCGCTATTCAGTACGCGCACGACAGCACAGCTGATAAGAACTCGCGCGACAACACCGCTATTCAGTACGCGCACGACAGCACAGCTGATAAGAACTCGCGCGACAACACCGCTATTCAGTACGCGCGCGGCGACAACACCCGCTTTAGAGTTTTCCAGCTCTTTTTCATCCCCGCTTCTAGCAGCACACTCCATTTCCACATTACTGGATCTGTAGCGACAACAGACCGCAAGGGATGATGGTCAAGCATGGGCTGATGGGAATTGTAGTTTTCGCTACCTCCCGTTCACTTCATTCGCCTGAGCAAATTTTCTCAGAAGACCTATAGTTTTACCAAGTCATGCAACTACGGTAATATCGAAATAAATTAATATTGCGGTATGACGGTATTTACAATACCGTTACATCCCTAATTAATAGTCTTGATTATTTTGACCATTTAGAGTCATTCATGTATGAAATATTAGGTAGAATGCTTTATATGATTAAGAGGTAAACCCCTTTTCTCTTTGTTTCTCTCAGTATTCCCTTTATATAAATTACAGAGAGGTACTTACAGTATAGTAGAAAAAGTGATGAACAACACAGAATTTTTTTTATTTTGTAATTTGATATTTTTGTAATTTCTAGTCCAAATATCTAAAAATTCTTTAATCAAGAAGCATTTGCCAGACAAGCAAATAATAGTCTTGATTTAAGAAATAATATCTCAAAATTAAATGTTGGACATGCTGCATAATTCATGTCTTTTTTTCCAACGATGACAAAGACGAATGCTGATTAGTAACAAGCAAATGTTTTTGTTTATTGATTTCTCATCTGCTTTTAATAAAATAAAGCCATACTTGTTGGTTGAGAAGCTAATATCTTTTTTTTTTTTTTTACCTGGATCTTAATATTTGCGATGGCATTCTGGATGTCTACAGTGTGTCAGAGTCAATGGTGCTCTTTCTGACTTTCAGTATTGTTCCACTGGGTCCCCTCAAAGTTGTTGCCTCTCACCTCTTCTGTTCATCATGTATACTAATGATTGTGGAAGTTTGTAAGGGAACAGTCATATGGTAAAACATGCTGATGATTAAGTGATTGCGAGTCTCCTCTACTATCAGGATTTGGGGCATGGTCCTGTTGTAGAAGAATTTTCTTCCCGGTGTGATGGATTTTCTCTCCAGTTGAATGTAAATAAAACAAAAGACATGGTGATAGATTACAGGAAGGCTTCTCATACCGCCAGCATAAACCACTACTAAAAGTTTGGACATTGAAATTGTTGACACATAAATATCTAGGGGTTGTTATAGCCATTATGTTGACATTCCAACCCAACACCCAGGCCGTCTATGAAAAACAGTTCAACAGTTGAAGAAACTTAGATAGTTTCAGGTTTGTACCTCTAAGGTGACACTGTTTTACAAATAATTTATTGAATTGGTTTTATCTTTCCGCATTGTAGCTTGGTACGGTAATCCAAGTCTGTCAAACAAGAACAGGTTGAGTAGCCTTGTGAAGGTGGCAGGCAAGATCAGCGCTTTTAACCAAACCCCTGATCACCCATTGTATTCTGTGTTTCAGCTACTTCCATCTAAACATCATTTTGGAGTTTCTATATCCAGGACAAACAGAATTAGAAATTATTTTATTATGGTGGCCATTAGGTTAATAAATGAGTCCAATGGGCAGGGAGATGCATCTAAAAAATGATGTACTGTATTTTTTGTGGTAATAGTTTGGTGATGTGTACATGAAACTTTGCCTGTGTTATGGTACCTTGATGCAATTTTAGTTTCCCTAACCTGGAAAAAAAGTTGAGTCATATTGTCTTGTTTTAAGAAATAATATGCCAAAATTAAGCGAGTTTTTTCTTAAAACAAGCAAAAATAATCTAGAGCCCTACACAGGCCTTAAATCTAATCCCCTAGCCTGGCCCTTGCCCGAGAAACCAATATTGCTTCCCCACACGGGGTGGAGACCACAGTCTCATTAGCACCTAAGCCAGGGGAACTCCAAGCCCAGCTTGTGTCTCTTTCGTCGGACAATTCAAATTCAGCTGCGCAGCCTCCTCGCATGGAACCGCTACCATTCAAGATGTTTTAAACAATTTTATCTGACAGACTGGCACAAATAAGCAGACATCTCATTCTCACAACGAGTATCTGAGTTCTCTCACCCTTCCAAAAGAGTTTGTTCTTCTGAGGTAATCTGGGAACACATCTGCAACTACTTTGTAAATGCCTGTCCTGCTTATGAATTAAATTGAGATTGACTGGCGCAATTAATTTTTTTCATTAACAGGGAAAACAGCTTAATATAGGCCCCTCTGAAATGGTGAATATTTCACTTTAATTTTATTTAGGCTAGATTTTATTTAACAATCCAGTTCGTTTTGGAGCTGAAGCATTTAGCGGACTGGTTTTGAAGCACTTTACCTCAAATGATTTTCAATCTTCTATTTTATCTAGTAGATAACTGACCAACAAAAAATATATATAAACAAATTATGTCATAACGAATGTCCTTAAATAATGCAGCCTTTGACAGCAAACCTCAGAGTTTCATGAGATTGAAATAAAATTAAGGGATGAGGCAGGGCGGTGCTGGATGTGTGCTTAACTTAAAATCCTGCAGGCGCGCCTGGACTTCCAAGTTGTGCATTGTGCTGGCTCATCATGTAAAGTTGTCCCTATTTGAAAAGATGACCAGAATTTTGTCTTTCCTCTATAATTTTTCACAGTTTTAAGTTTGCATTGGCAACTTTTCTTTTTATGTTCTCCATTGCACATGGCAGAAAATGTTATGCAAGGGATCTCTGGTGCTTCCAGAGAGCACAAATTAGATCTCATTAAACTTAAAAATAATAATAAATTCTAATGCAGGCCTGGTACCCAATGCGCACGCTAGCTATGACTTGAAAATCGGCCAGAAACCGGGTCCTAGGGTCATAAAACAAAAGGATGGGCCCCGACGGGCTCAGGCTTAAATGCAGGGCTCTAATATAATCTGCCAAAAGGGTAAACAAAATAATAATAATAAAAAAAATTTTTTTTTTAGAAAAGATTGCTGTAAATTGAGTATCACATTCTCTAACTTTGAATGTCTTGATCTTTTAAAATTTCATGACACTACAGAAATTCCATGACCTTTGCTATTACTTATTGTAATTTGGCATCTCTGTAGTATACTTTTGAAACACTTGCTTGTTACTTATCAGTATTCATCTTTATATCATCATTGGAAAAAGAGACATGAATTACCCAGCATGCCCGAAGAGACAGATATAGTACAACGCCCAGCTTGATCCCAATGTTATGAATGTGACAAGCAGATAACGAAAGATCTGACAGCTTTAATTTGAAAGACCTCAAGCTTTCCAGCTCAACAGGTGGGGTACAGCTAATCTGGATCAGAGGAGAACGGCCACGGGCAATACATTTCTCCAAATGAGGCCTCGACCTTTAGTTACAGTGAGAAGATAACACATTGATTGACTTGTTCAATGCTCTTAGCACAAGCACAGAGCTCCGTCTGTGCGCTGGCAAGACCCGCTTCCTCACAGATTGTGAGACTGTCTGCAAGTCTTCAATTTGTTTTTAGTCAGAAGAAAACAGACCGAGTAATCATTTGCATTAATAAAACGCATTAAAATTAGGCCGAGCTGTTTGTTATTTTTATTGCAAGCTGTCTTTGCCTAAAACTGTCAAAAAAAAAAGTTACTCGTGTTCAGAGGTGCCACATTAATACCACATCTAATGCTAAATGTCAGAAATTACAAGTTGGCATATTAAGACTAAAAAGGACCTATTATGCCCCTTTTTAAAGATGTAAAATTAGTCTCTGATGTCCCTAGCATGTGTAGCTAAAGTTTCAGCTTAAAATACCCCACAAATAAATGTTTTATAACTCTTTAAAGCTGCCTTTTTTGGATTTGATTATATTTTTTCCATTTTGGGGACTGTCGCTTTAAATTCAAATGAGATTTTTTTCAAAAAGAGGGCAGATCTACAAATGCCTATTTAACCTTTAACCTCACGTCAAAAAAAAAAAAAAAAAAGTGCAATAAACAACAAACGTCATTATGATTATGGAGTTTATGAAGGTTCATATCCTCTAATGCCACCTACAGTGCAATTTGGGCAGGTATACGACCGAGCTAAAATATCAAGGTGAAAGTAATCATAGCTTGCGTAAAATAGACCCAGCTCCCGACCCAACTTCAAGAATAGATTAACGACTAATATATATATATATATATATATATATATATATATATATAAAATATATGTGACTGTGTGTAGGCGCTGGGATGCTGAAGAATGCTGCGAGTCAGGTAGGTGTGGTCACTTAAACTTCCTTTATTGTCCTGGGACAAACACAGCACCAAAGATTTAGTTGGTTTGCAGCTCTGGTGATATCAGTGTCTTAAAGTGAAATAAACAGAGTTTAAACGTTTCACAAATGCCTGATAATTAATAACTCATTAACCAGCGATCACCAAAGCAGCTTACCAGCAGAGAGGCTTCTCAGAACTGCTGGTACATTACATTTTGTCTAAACTTATACATTGTGATGTATAGTGGTTATTAATGTAAATAAAACATACATGAAAATTACATAAAACTGCCTCTATTCATCTCTCATCCAAATCACTATTTCAATACAGTAACCGTTAGTGAAAATAAACAGTAAGCCTATGTGACCAATAATCAACACTTTTTTAAGAAAAGGAACGACAGAACAGAATAAATACTCATAAACAGCAAAACACATAATTCTAGCACGTGGAATATGTAGCATATGTGCTACGGCTAACACAGAACATCACAAAATAGTAGTTAAACATACCTACAAACACAGCACCAAAGATTTAGTTGGTTTGCAGCTCTGGTGATATCAGTGTCTTAAAGTGAAATAAACAGAGTTTAAACGTTTCACAAATGCCTGATAATTAATAACTCATTAACCAGCGATCACCAAAGCAGCTTACCAGCAGAGAGGCTTCTCAGAACTGCTGGTGAATTACGTAGCAACGCCCCCTACTGTGATGGACGCTATTGCAGGTAAAAACCAATGGTAAGTGTTCCCAATTGAACCATGAATTTAACCCTTATTTTAACTCCGTTACACATATATAAATATATATGATATACCGATAAGAGTCTCGCAGCTCATTAACGCCATTAATGGCCCACCACTAAAAATATATATATTTTAAAACTCTTGGGGGATTGGAGGCATAACACCAATATATTTCACTCATTTTTACACAAATTACTAGAACAGGGGCTAATTATGATTTAATAAACACTTGTTTTTTTACAATAATCTTTTTTACAATGCTCTGTTACAACCTCAAATTACTTTTACCCTAATGCTTGATGTGCAAGCAAGCACATTTGGACATTTACATCCAAAAAACTGTTCTATATTAACAGCTTGTTCATAGCAAACTTTGTTGTTTGCATTTGCAATGTAGAGCACTAAAATACTGTGATACACAATTCAAGATCAAATAGCTTGAAGACGTGTAGAATTAAGCTAAAATGGCTTGGTTTTTATCTCATGTTTGCTTTGATTAACACTATCTGTAAGGTTCAAGGCAGATAGATCATTATTTTTTGAAGCACTAAACTTTAGATTCACTCACTGAACATTTCAACACCACCACCACAACAAAATAGCTGCCAAATTCATATTTGAAGATAAAACTGAACAAGTAGTAAGTGCTACTTACTAGAAATGTTACTTTTAAAGTTTTGAGAAACATCCAAGGAGCAGCATAATGTAATATTGCAGAAATGTTGCCACGGGCATGTTTTTTCATTGAGCTTGTGCTTGGCTAAAGTTGCTATATCCGTTGACTGATACAAACAGAGCAGTGTTTGGAGCGCTGTTGAACCATTTTGGGAAATCAACCTACAAATGGTTTGCTTAAAAACGCTCTCTGAATATTGAACAGCTAAATATTTTAACATTAAAACCACCAGCTTTAAATAAGAGGAAATGGCAAATTATAATATGCATTTTCTCCACCTTTTAAGTTTTGATATTGGCAGAGCCCTTCCCCCTAGGGAAGCTTTCAAGGTTAGCATAAAGGCTAACAGGGAGACCAGAGGCTGTGTTGTGTGAGTAAAAGTCAGTGAAGGAAATGCCTCGGTATGCAAAGTAAACTTTTTTTATTCAGAGTGGTGTCATGACCTTATAAACTGACTGGTTTTGGCATGACTTCATTTTTAAAGCTAAAAAAAAAATGTCGTACTGTCATGTTTAGATCATGCATAACCCACAAGATATAGTGTGTCTTTCAGATTTTATCATTATATGTACATTATTTCCCCCCCCCCGATCACCACTGTAGTATGTGCTCTTAAGGTTTCATCAGCCAAATTGATGTTTTCAAGCTGCCGTTTTCAAAAAGATTGTCATGCGACCTTTCACAGATCAGCAGTTTGGTTTAAATCGGTCAGGGTTTGTGCCAGCTGACAAACTGCCATTAGCTGTTTGTTTTCATCCAAAGATGCTAATTAGGCTTAGCAAAACTGGAATATCACATAAAACATTTGCAAATAAAGCGCCGTTTTCATCCAATGAGTCAAAGAGAAAAAAAACAAACACTTCTTGATAAACTGGTGCCAAATACTGTATGAAAAAGAAAAACTGAGTCTGCTGTGGTAGGAGAAGCCACTTTTCTTTATCTTAAAGGGATGGTTCAGAGTAGATTTTTTAAGACTTGGTTGTGTTTATAAGATGCAAAGCAATGTGTGCTCATGCTCCATTTGTAAAAATGCTAACATGAAAACGACTGTCAATTTTAATATTGATTGGTCAACTAACATAATGTGCTGTGATTCGCGGATCAGCTCCATGTCACCAGGAAAAGTGTCAAGGCTCTAATAGCATGTGCTGTGTTTCTGCTTTGTAAATTCGGTCAGTCAGCGTAACTGTTAGCCGTATCAGTTTGAGCCTGAATCAGGCAGCTGAACCTCATGCCTGCTCTTTAAAATAAAATCTGACAAGTGTCTTTCACATATCCGAAATAAGCATGTGTATGTAATATGAAACGTTCACATATCTTTTGCGATTTCGTTATTTGAGATGTAGAACCAGTGAAGCTGCTCCCTATACGCAGAGTACGCAGGCTGCGTAGGGCCTCAACTCCGGAGGGGGACACCATCTTGGCTGCTCAAAAAATTATTGATATTTATTCACTAATATCAACATAAACTAAGTGTAAATAAAATATATGTTGATAACATGTTGCTAAATACATTTTAAAAATACATTTTATGACGGAAGCAAAAAACACATGTGTTGTCATTTTTTTCTGTGTACGTGCATAGCCGCGTGCGTGTGTGCACGTGGTCCAGTCCACTTATCTTTGCGGCAGCTCTGTGCCTGTGAAAAGACAACAGCAGGTATGGTCAGGTAACTTCCATGAATCTGGAAAACACATTTTTAGTTGTTCAAGTAAATTGGTGAGGCTAACGTTTAAACTTCTGCTGCTGTGCATTGTGCTTTAAACTATGACAGGACATGTTCTATGACTTTGAGTTTCCCCTTTTTTTCCCATGTCTTGATAATTACACAAGCGTAATTATTTTTATTAACTTGTGCAATACTTTACAACTCTGTTTGCACACCAGCTACTGTACATACACATACACATACACTGCACAATTATTTCACTGTATGTATTGTTTATTATTATATAGTTGTATTATATAATTATATATTATATAATTCTTTGCTGTTATCATTGTTTATTGTTTTGTCTTTCTTTCTTATTGCTGTTGCTGTTGTTATGCTTGTATTATTGCAACAACAGTAAAGTCTCTTTAGTCTTTACATTGGTAGATTGGTGTGTTTTAGGCCAGTTTTTTATTTTTGTACATTACTGTATGAAATGACAAAACTGACTCATTCTGTGATTTCTAAAAAAATATATATATATAAAATAGGTCAAATTACTGTAAGCCACAGGCCAGAAGTCACTTTTATAGCATGACTTCATTAATGATGATTTTTTTCTGAATGATAAAGTTTTTTGCTTAAAAATACACTCATTAATTCTTAAAACCCACAAATGTTTATGATTTACACGGAAAGCAAGAGTCAGCTTTTAGGACAAGCCTATTGTTTTAATGGTATGTCATGAGTTTTTCCTTTAAATGACTAATTTCTTCTGTATTGTACATGCAGGTTTAATGCTGTCACAAAAGAAGATGAGATGAAATGACCAGCACTGCTCCAGAGGCATCAGCAGCTGCACAGGTATGAAACAGGATGCAGCACTGAATACAGTCCAACTCTGCAGGTGCAGAGGGGCTTTATTCCTTACCTTTTGTAAATGTTTAAAATCAGGAATATTTCTCCAGAAGACATGTCCGTTTTTTTATTTTGTAATGTAAATATTTGAATGTTTAAGTGTAATTTAGAGATTTTGTTCTTCTGTGGGGGCACAACAGTAAAATTTTGCATAGGGCACCCTTTTGGCCGGCAGCAGCCCTGTGTAGAACGCAGGGAAAGCGGCCGCATAGAGAGGCCCCATTGCACTGGTGAAGATTTTGGGTGTTTACAGTGGTTTGACTGGCATTAGCTGTTTGTTTTCATCCAAAAATGATAATCAGGCTTGGCAAAACTGGAATCACTTAAAACATTTGCAAATAAAGCACAGTTTACATTCAATGAGTCAGAGAAAAAAAGCAGCATTTCCTGATAAACTGGTGCTAAATACTGTATCAAAAAGAAAAAAAAAATGTATTTGCTGTGGTTGGAGAAGCCACTGTTGGCCTTTTTTCTTAAATAACAAACGACTTGCGCATCATATTATGGAGACGAAATGTACAAATCAAACCACTTTGATGGCAGACATTGGCTGAGGCATTTTAGAATGACCAAAACAACAATTCAGATGTTTTACAATGTGATCGGTCCACATATCACATGACCTGTTAAAACAAAATCTTTTTTGATGCACATGGTGGAATTTATTCCCATAATGTGTCATGAGTATATCCATAGTTTGTGCTTTTTTCTTATCAGATAAAATGTTTATACAACTCAGTTGTATGAATTTTGGTAACACTTTTAAATGTAGATCTTAGTTAGTTAGTTAATGTATTTACTAAAGTGAACAAATGATTAATAACACATTTATAACCGTATTTATTGATCTTTGTTAATATTCATGTTAGTTCATGTTAACTCTCTGTGAATTTACTAATGTTAAAGAGACCCTATTATAGGTTGCTTAAAATGACCTTCCATGCAGTGTGTAACTACTCTAAGCTAATGGAAACATCCAGCTGATGTTTAAATCTAAAGTGCACCTTATTTTTTAATAAAGGATTTGACTCAAGAGTCGTTTAAATGATTCATCATTCGTCCAGATCTTTTGCCTGTTTGTATCAACTTCGACACGAAACGGTACCAAATATGAAGTGCCGGATCCAGTAAAACATGAACATGTCCTTCCCTTCAAATGCTAGCAGAGTGCGGGTGTATGTGGGAGTAAACGAGTGAACGTTAATGTAATAATCTATCTTGCAACGGGGAATCCAAAACCAAAATATGAACTTCAATGCATAAAAGGGGCTCTTTAAGAAAGCGCGACTTTAATTTAATTTTTAATAATACATTAGTTCATGTTAAACTATGACTATAAAATGCTTTACAAGATTTTTTTATAATTAGTTAATGTTAGTAAATGCATTAAGTAACTAACTAATTGACCATTATTCTAAAGTGTTACCTCACATTTGTTATCCACATTTTCAAAATATATGCGCAACCTGGCATTACAATTAGGCATTATTTAAGCATTAATTAAAGTGTACATACA